ATTTTATCTTCTCGGGGATCGGTCTTCCTCTCATTCCACATTGGTGTTTGAATGTAAGTGTGTGGATCAGGGAAAGCCGGCAACCAATTGGGCAAATGTTTACTCTGTGGCGCCTCCCCCATTTGCTCGAAACTCGGAATTAATCTCCGCTGCTTGATCACCGGAAACCGAGGCAATGGCTGTGCAAATGGGATCTCCTCAGCCGAACCCACATACTCAACAATGCCTCTCACTATCCCAGACCCTGCAAGACAATGACTGACCTCAGCAGCACCCAAGAACCCTTGCAGTGACTCCAAATCCTCCAACCCTCTAATAATATCAAACACATTGCATTCGGTTCTGCCAGCCAAGTTAGCATAAAAGCTTGACATCTTCCCTAAGTCACGGAGGTATCTGATGGCAATGTCGGCGAGAGCGTCCAGAGCAGACTCCTTGAAGCTCTGAAACCCAACGCTCTCGCATATCTGCGCCACCGCAACCGTAGATATGGCTCGGCCAAACTCATCGGCTCCTCCTCCTCCTTCTCTTCTCGGCGCTTCGCTACTGGGTTCATTCACTCTGCTGCTACTGTCCGCTTCTCCATGGCTCATATTCAAGGCTCATATTCAAATCATTCACTCAGCTTTTTCTCTAACCCTCAAATCATTCGACCCATGAGCCTGTTCCTGCAAAAACCCGCGCATCTTCCCTCCCTTTCCCTCGTTTTCTCGGCAGTCAAACAAAAACATATAAAAGCGAAAGAAAATAGGAGGACTCTACCCAGCTGACACTGAGAAACCCTAGAAAAAACCCAGAAAGAGAAGCAGCGAGAGGTTGTTAGAAATTGGAGTGAAATAAACGCAATTCTCGGAGCCTTGCAGCGATTCAAAGACTCCGGAACACGAATCAGAAGTAAACGAGCAGAGTTTGGATTCAGATTGAGCGAAATATCGCGAAACCCTAGAGGAGGAAGGAGAGGCAAGTAGGGTTAGGGTTTGAGAGAGTGAAGAAGGTTGAGGATATGGAGGGAATTTATGAATTTGAAAAAAAAATAGAAATTGATAAATCCCTGGTAAGACCCCTTTGGCAATGTTTGTATCAAAATTCAAACGGAAGGGAGATTTGGGAACGAAGAGAGAGAGAGAGAGAGAGGAGTGAGATCGATGAAGAGAATTGGGGGGTCTTGGGTTTACTTTTATAGAATTCTACCACTAAATTAAGAGGTATCTGGGCCTTTAGTGAGCCTATTTTTTGGGCCATTTAGTGTACCCGGCCCAGCCCAAATAAAAAACCGATAGTATAAATATGTTCTTTGTGCTCATTGGAGATGGAGGATAAGAAATCAGAGAGAGACTGAAATGGAGAAGTATTTTGGGAACGCGTACAGAGGAGACCCGGGGGTCCCACATGCCGACCCGGAACGCTTTGTGAATATATGGATCGGGTCCGCTGCCTTCTCTGCGCTCACTTGGGTCAACCCCTACATGTGGCAGCTCTCGAATCAGTTCAAGTAGGTCATCTTTTTTGAGTTTTGATAATTACCCAGTTTGTGAATACTTTTATAGAATTCTACCACTAAATTAAGAGGCATCTGGGCCTTTAGTGAGCCTATTTTTTGGGCCTTTTAGTGTACCCGGCCCAGCCCAAATAAAAAACCCATAGTATAAATATGTTCTTTGTGCTCGTTGAAGATGGAGGATAAGAAATCAGAGAGAGACAGAGAGAGACTGAAATGGAGAAGTATTTTGGGAACGCGTACAGAGGAGACCCGGGGGTCCCACATGCCGACCCGGAACGCTTTGTGAATATATGGATCGGGTCCGCTGCCTTCTCTGCGCTCACTTGGGTCAACCCCTACATGTGGCAGCTCTCGAATCAGTTCAAGTAGGTCATCTTTTTTGAGTTTTGATAATTACCCAGTTTGTGAATTTGTTGCTATTTTATGTTTCTGTTTTTTAATTCTGTTTTTATTTTCTTCACAATTTGAAAATTGTTGCAGCTGGCATGACAAAGCAATGTGCTTTGAGCAGTATCATTGGAAGAAGGCCATGAAGAAAGGGGAGCCCTACAAATTTAAGGTATGTTGGGTTGTGTCTCAAATGTTGGGCAAGCTGAAATTTCAAGAATTTCACTGATTCTAATGAGAACCCATTTGGGAGTTTTTGTGGGTTTTGATATTGTTCTTTTGTTGATGAAACCATTGGTCTTTTTTTTTTTTTGTTCTTGTTGCAGTGGAACCAGTACATGGACAAGGATCTCAGAGATTCCTACTATTTCAACTGGCCTGTTTATTTCCCTTAGTTGTAAACTTGTTTGTTTCAATTGGCCTTGTTTAAGTTTTACTGAGCTGAAACTCTCATAGCCTGAAGGTTATAATGTTTATTATGTATTGCATTGAAGGCTTAAAGCAGAATCTTCTCCTTTATCAGTATCAGGCTTCATGCCTTTTTGAATGCCAGTGAGTTGTGTCATATGATCATTTTTACTTCTTCTGCAAATGGTTGGTTTTTTCGATTGCAAGGATAATTTGAAATTTAAGCAATTGAGAATTTGAGATGCAGATGATGAACAATTTGATAAAGGGTGGATAATGGATGGATATAGATCATATAATGCTAGCTGAGCTGCTACATGATGCAGCATCTCTTTCTGCTTGATGACAATGCAAGTCTTGAGAAGCTGTTTGCTCAAATTGCTGTTTGGAAACGGGTTATTTTCCTAATGATGTTTAGCCTGCAGCTATAGTTAGTGAAACAACTCCCAAACACAAGTTTATTGAGTGTAAGGGGAACTAGAATTGCTTTCAGCAGATTGTGATAAAAGCTGTAATATAGCAGGCTTGAGGCTTTGAGCTTTCTCATTTTAAGTCACAACTGTTTTCAAGCAGTCTGGTTCAAAGAGAGACCTCATTGTCTGATGAAACCAATCCTTTCCCACGGAATTTGTCACCAAAATACAATTAAGCCGTAGCACCCCTAAAGAAAATGGAATCTAAAAATCTATAGTTCTATTTGCTGAGTTGTGAAGAAAATGTTTACGACCTACTTCCTTTATGAGTTTAGCATAAACTTCGAATACGTGCAATCACGTGCAAGTCACACGAATTTGGTAAATTAGGAGGTACATATTTGTATATGTATCTTTTTCCATGTGGGTTAAAATTTTTATAAAATTATCAATGGGAATTTGGGACTTCTTTTAATATTGTGATTATTTTAGAAAATAAAGTAAAGAAAAACAGCCGAATTTTGGAGATTTTTAAAGAATCCCTGGTGAAAATTAAAAAAACCCCCAAAAAATAACAGAAATAGAAAATAACCCACGTCTTCCATTATCCTAAAAGCCTTTGCAGCTGCCACGGTCCTAGCTGAACTAAACAATGGCATTTCTCCATCCTCCATGTTCATCTCCCACTTCCCAAACAACCTCACGTCTTCCATTCACGCCACTGATCACTGCGTCCTCTCATCTCTCTTCAACCCAAAAGCCAACCCAATTGAGCAACTGGGTCTCGGAGTTTCGGTCCAAGTCTTTAAATTTGGTGCTCTCAGGGGCTCTCACGCTCGGATTATCTCTCTCAGGCAAGTACTCTCATTTTCTGCAATTTCATAACAGATTAACATGCTGAAAATGTGAAAAAGACTTTAAATTTCTGCAGGAGTAGGACCTGCGGAGGCAAAAGTTGGGGTGAACAAGCCAGAATTGCTTCCCAAAGAGTTCAGTCCTGTAATTGATGTAGCTGGCTTCCTCTCTGATGGTCAGGTGTGTTTTCTTATTTATTGCTTATTTGTTGGTTTTATATGGTTTTCCTGGATTCTTGGGTTGAAATTGAAAATGGAAAACTTGCATTGCATCTATTATATGGGACATTAATAATATCATAGTGTCTTTTGAACATTGACATCAAAATTGAAATCTAAGAATTAAGCTGAGGTGCTTATAATTAATGTATGGTAATTTTCAGGAGAAAAGACTAGCCCAAGAGATTGATAACATAGAGAAAGATACTGGATTCAAGTTGAGGGTTCTTGCACAGAACTATCCTGACACACCAGGTGTGCTTACTGTTCTGTAAGACTTTGGCATTCAGAGTGTTTGCTTTTATTTTTTTTAATTTCTATATAGGTTTTGCAAGAAAATGCTCTCTTGTCACACAGTCTAACATGTTTATGTTGCCAAATTGTAAATTAGAATTATTGTTAAGAGACCAATCTGAATGTGTGAGAAGATAAAATTAACCCTGGTTTTGCAATATTTCCATGTTTTGCAGGTTTGGCAATTAAAGATTTCTGGCAAGTGGATGATAGAACTATTGTCTTTGTTGCTGATCCCACCTTTGGTAATGTATTCATGCGTACCAATCTTGTGTTATAACTTATATTGTATGAGTTTTTTCTTCTTTTCTTTGTACTACCTCTACCATAGATTATTTGTATTGATGGGTCTCTTGCTCTCTTTGAGCAGGCAATATACTGAACTTCAACGTGGGGGCTTCCATTGATCTCGATGTTCCACGTAGCTTTTGGAGCCGTTTGGCCGGGAAATATGGAAATATATTCTACTGGAAAGAGAAGGTGAAGTTCCATCATTGCTTAGATATATCTATGTTTGTAATGAGGTTGATTGCATTGCACAAGATTTTCTGAAGAAAAAGAGTATGGTTGTAACTTGTATCTGCTGGATTGAATGGAACAGGGAGAAGACGGAGCGATTGAAGCTGCAGTAATGGCAATATCTAGCTGCTTGAAAGAACCTGTAGGCTCCGATAATTGCTCTGAGGTAAAATAATACAATGACTACTTAACAATGGCTCCTTCATTTGCACCCTGTCCATTTTGTAAATGTTGTTGAGATTTGTATGACATCGGTTAACAAAATGCTAAATTGCTTGTTCTAAATGAGCAACTTCTCAGTGACTGTTCTTGTGTTGAAAATCAGAATAATGTTCATTCCATAATCTTATCAATACTTTTGAATTTTGCAAGGAGTTTGTAACTCAAGTGGTTAAGAATAGTTAGCCGTGCACGGTGCACCTGAGTTTCTATGTTCAAATAACCCCACTTTGTGTGGGTGGCAAGCAAATTAGGCACAGTTATAACCATGTTTATTCTTATCATGGGTTTGTTTTAAGAAAATATATACAATATCGCTTGATACTTGGAAAATATTTTGATATAAAAGGCAAGCTGATGTGCTTAATTATAATGTGTACGTACTAATTCATATGACCATATTTCACCATATAGTTCTCACAAGAGACTCAAATTGAAGCTCAATTGTAGCTTAGTTTGCTATAGCTTCAAAGTTTTGGAAGCAATCCTGCACTTTCGGCTGACAATAAAAATGACTTTCAATCCATTTCATCTTTTAAATTATAAATCCATCTAGTGTTTCCAGACTTCGGTTACAATCATTACATTGAGGATGGTGGTGAGGGTACACCTATAGTTAAAGTGGTGAGCAAAAATGCACCCATCATTACATACGATCAGGACCAACTATTTTTCAGACACTTCCGTCAATGTCTTTCAAGTTGGGTTGTCATCAATCATCATTGTTTTGGTGCCCCAAGACTTTGCTTAATTGCATTTTTTCCACATGTCTCTACTCACTGTATAATATTTTTACATTTTGCAAATGGGTTGATCTCAAAAGTTGAGCCTCTTGAGTTGGTGGAGGTGGCATGTAAAGTCAAGGGAAGGACAATGGACTTTCATGGCATGCACCAACATGCAAGTTCTTTCAAGGTCCAAATAAATAGGGTCCACCAAGACCTAATTGTGAATATAAAATTAACCAAACAATTGGAATATACCTTGTCTAATAAATAAATAATTATGAACAAAGAAAACAACTGCTAACGGAGGAGTTGGTTGGTGGCCACCGTCATAAGTCTCATGATCAGATCATTAGTCCATTGCCAACAATCTCTGCTCAGAAAAGAAAAAAAGCACCAAACGTGTTGGTACTACCTGGCCAAACACGGCAAGAGTCGGTTTACATGTGTGGTATTTTCTAGGAGCACCTCTCCTTTTGTATTAGTACATCCCACATTAGAGAATGTCATACTACAAGACATATGAGTCTAAAATAAATGCGAAAATATTTTTCTAGAAAATAGAAGTGCTAACGCTTAAGGATTTGATCATTAATGCGACAAAGAACAAAGAAAAAAATATAGCAACACTTCGCCCTGAAGTAAAGATAAACGGACTCGAACCGCTGACATCCGCCACAGGACTCAGCCCCCGTGTCCGTCTCAAACTCTAAGCATTTAAATTTAAATTAAACTTTGTCATTGTTGAAAAAATATTGAAAATACTTTTAGTATTGGTTCAACATACGGGCACAGAAAAATTAAAAACTGAAAATAGTGGAAGTTTGGATAGGCATAGCTCTTGCTTCAACAGGACAAAATCTTCTAATATGATAATTTTCGGATCATACTTAATTGTTGTCATCCCATTCCCCAACCCACTATGCTTACCTCAGAAGGAAGAAATTATATAAGATATAAGAATGAATTTTTCTTATATTCTTTCCATGCAGAAATCTGTCTACATCCAGTGCAAAAAGAGCACATATAACAGAGGAAATAATTAGACAAAGAAATTTACATGGCTAATAAATCATACATGAAAATGGGCTCATTCGGGTAGCTAGCTTAGCTAGTATCCTTGTATAACTGTAAGATTAATATTATTTTTACTACTATTCTTCTCCCTCCTGTTTTCTAAAATCTTATGCAACTCCTCTGGCCTGCAAGGAACAGCAAGAGCCCCCTTCTGTTCAAATCCATATTCTTCCTCAGCTTCTTCTAGCAACCTCAAAAACTCAGGGTTTTGCAAGGACTCTAATTTCACCACAAACCTCTCTGCCTCGTTGCCCTTCACTGCAAAAACAGCAAAATGCCCTTCTTTAACATCTTCTGGCACCACTGTGGCTTCATCAAAATCACTGTGGTAATGAAAGCCTCTGGCTGATAAAATGGAGAGACCCTTCTGCACAAGCTTCCGAATGAGCAGCCTCAGCGTCACGAGACCTCGAATGTCGTCTGGTTTCTTTGATCGGATTTTCAGTGTAGACATATTATTGTGTGTTGAGGACTTGGACTCAAGAGCTTGCTTGTTTTGTTTATTTTGATGGGTGATGGTGATTTTCTGTGGAGGGTGTGTTTTATAGTGGGTTTTTGAGAAGGAAGCCAGAGTGGGAAAAGAAGGAAACTTCTGTTTCATTGTGGAGCCTTTTGCATCTAATGTAGGTGCCATGGACGACATGTCATTTAATGCAAACGTTTTGATGAGTCAACATCGCATCCAAATGTCCTCACGCGGTACTCATCTCATCTCATCACTCATGATGATGATGAGTTTGTTTAATGATTTGTGAGTTTGTGATGGGAATTGGGACTTGGATCTGACGGTAAAATTTTGTACAGTCATTCAAAACTTTACAAAATATCAACACGAAATTCACACGGATTTTTTTTTAAAATCATATTACATTTTGAGATAAAATTGAGATTCATATTCAAAATGAATAAGTCTAACGGTGATTCACAAATCTAAAGTACTATATCGTGAGAAAAATAGTATGTGAATCTAATAAGGATTAAAAAATCGTACTAATACAAAGTTGGCATGAAAATCACATAAGTTAACATTGATGGATACAAAATAGTTAAGCAGATGATTGTCTTGCACTATTAGATATAATAATATACTGAGTCCCCCGATCAATAATTCTTAGATATTATTGAAGAATAGTGAGAGATGGAAACATGAAAGAATAAGGAGAATGAGAGAAAAGCATGTGCCGAGCCACTAAGCCGATCTTTCATTAAACAATTACAGAACATGTATACAAAACTTTCTCTACACTACATGGTACACAAGAAAATCCAAATGTCTTGGAGTGCAAGACAAGTTTACAGAGGAACATTACGAATACACAAGACTTACTTTCCTAATTTACGGTAAAATTAGTGCTGCGGGAGCCTGCATTATTTTTTTACCCACTTGTTTCTGTGTAGTTACTGTGGTGTTTGGATGTAAAAAGTTTCTTGGTGTGTCGGCGAGAAGAGAATTGTTGTTTCTTAGTTAGTCTTAGTCTTTAGTCTTAGAGACAAGCAGCAGTAAAAGCGATGTTCATGTGATCAACCGCCATCCACTTTATTTTATATTTATTTGACTATTGCCAGTGATTGGATGAGTAGGCCATAACGTCTGTGGTACACATATTTGGGAAATCAATATTATGAATTCAGGAAGAAGAAGCAGAAACTTGCTCAACAAAATGCCTCTCTATATTTGCTAAACATGTAATATTAGGCTCAAATTACTGATTCAACAGGAATATTTGATGAAATAGAAGCATCTGAATCTTTTGGGAAACTAGTAAACTCAAAATGTTCAATTATTATAGGAAATTGACTGACAATGTATATCAAGATGACACCGTACTCAATTGCGGTTTCATTTTCCACGTGATGGATAAAGATAAGCAAACTCATACAATTCAAAAAATAAGTAAGGGATGTGGGGTTGGAGGTGTGGAACCCATGACTTTTTAAGAACAAGATCTAGCTCTAATTGGAGACTGCACCTTATGTATCTATCTCTCTCTCTCTCTCATCACGCAAATTTTATCATATTTAAGAAGTCAAATGTTTTAATTCTTTATTAACTTAATTTTGATTTAATAATGAATATGAGCCATTATGAATCCGTTTTTCTCATCTCATTGGATATGAAGCATAGTTGGAGTTGGGTTTTTGTTGTACTTCTCTAAATTGTATAATTGTAGAATTGTTAAAAGAAGAAACTCCTTTATCTTTGGATTCAGTATGAAAATACATAATCAGCTCTGCATGTTCCAATTGAATGCATTAAAAAATCATAAAGGTATTACTTTGGATGACCTATATGTATCTGGTTCTGCCTAATAGGTAGGGGAAGAGGGTCAAGTTTCTAATCAAAAGGGACGGGAAGGGGTCATTCCATGTGCTGCTTTATCTCATCATTTGGCTGCTCCTTCATATTTCCCGAATTGTTAAAAGAAGAAACTCCTTATCTTTGGATTCAGTATGAAAATACATAATCAGCTCTGCATGTTCCAATTGAATGCATTAAAAAATCATAAAGGTATTACTTTGGATGACCTATATGTATCTGGTTCTGCCTAATAGGTAGGGGAAGAGGGTCAAGTTTCTAATCAAAAGGGACGGGAAGGGGTCATTCCATGTGCTGCTTTATCTCATCATTTGGCTGCTCCTTCATATTTCCCTGTTCAACCTCTGCGCTGATGGCAACTACAAATCACTCATGGTATGGCAGCAAATATATGTACATGGACTTACTCTTGTGTAAAGATTCACATAAATAAGAGTTGTGTTAACGTCAGTCATGATGTATCTGGTTCTGCCTAATGGGTAGGGGAAGAGGGTTAAGTTTCTAATCAAAAGGGACGGGAAGGGGTCATTCCATGTGCTGCTTTATCTCATCATTTGGCTGCTCCTTCATATTTCCCTGTTCAACCTCTGCGCTGATGGCAACTACAAATCACTCATGGTATGGCAGCAAATATATGTACATGGACTTACTCTTGTGTAAAGATTCACATAAATAAGAGTTGTGTTAACGTCAGTCATATGTATAACGGTTAGCATAATTCATTTTGAAAATATTCTTTTATCAATCAATCAATTTAAGAATAGTGTATGTATATGTTAAGATTTTAGAGGAACGGACTCTTGGCCCACCACTAGCAATATTGATATTGTCCCCAACTTAACCACCTGTCTCATATAATAAATGGTTCTACTCCTAATAAAATCGAGGCCTTTTGTATAAAATCTAAGGTATTCAAATCATATTCATATTTTATATGGTATCAGAGATCGAAGAATATAAATCTAAATCATTGATCAAATTAATTCACATTTTATTATGTGTGATTTAAATTAACAGGATGATGTGACAAGAAAACATTGCCAGGTTATACTTGTCACCAATCCACTTACCATGACTCATTCGCCATCAACATTGTCTCCAAATCCTAAAAGGTGTATAACGGTTAGCATAATTTATTTTGAAAATATTCTTTCATCAATCAATCAATTTAAGAATAGTGTATGTATATGTTAAGATTTTAGAGGAACGGACTCTTGGCCCACCACTAGCAACATTGATATTGTTCCCAACTTAACCACCTGTCTCATATAATAAATGGTTCTACTCCTAATAAAATCGAGGCATTTTGTATAAAATCTAAGGTATTCAAATCATATTCATATTTTATATGGTATCAGAGATTGAAGAATATAAATCTAAATCATTGATCAAATTAATTCACATTTTATTATGTGTGATTTAAATTAACAGGATGATGTGACAAGAAAACATTGCCAGGTTATACTTGTCACCAATCCACTTACCATGACTCATTCGCCATCAACATTGTCTCCAAATCCTAAAAGCCAAGTTAAGATGGGACGGATGCATGTGTAATTTAATCGACTTATCAATGTCAGTACACCCCTTTTACCATTTTTGGGGTCCAATGTAGTGGGATCTTTGATGTACCTTTCTTTTGGCTGTTATAACTTATAATTGGGGTCCTAGAAGCACTTTATAAATTATACGAATCATAGGACAAAAAGTACCTCTCAGAAAGAAGGCCTAGTGTTCATTATCCAGCCATTGCATATCTGATCGAGGATCGATTATGCCACTGGAACTAAAGCAACACAGGCACAGCCATGTGCAAGTTGTATAAAATGTTCAATGAGGGTTATTCTTACTTTTTGGGTTTGTTTTTTGTTTCTATCAAATGGAGGTTTCATTCATAAATTTTAGCCAGATAGAAAATATCACTAGTCACAGGAACCAGTACAAGAGGTACATCAACAACATCTCGACGGTGAGGTATTTCCTCATACTAACCGAGTGAGGGGTTTGATGACTGTATCGATATCGATATGACGAGAAGAAAGGGAAACAAGACTTCCAAGACAAAAAGGATGGCATGGGTTCGACCGGGCGCCAGACGAAGGAGATCCAGCCAGGTCCCCCACTGGCTAACGCTGTTATCTCTTATTGTTCTCTCACTTATTGAAATGGGATTCAATGAAAGGTTAAGATTGAGCTTTCGTTCTTTTTGGTAGGTCATATTCTTGACTCCGTAAAGTTGGTATTCAATCCTGTGAGGCACATGAATTATTACAACTAGAAAAGGGTTCGATGTTGATAGTGTCAAGGTCATACCATAAACTAGTCTCAATCACTCAAGTCTCTCTAAAAGTTATAAACGAAACGATGGACCCAAATCACCACCACCACCAGCTATTGCTGCGAGAATCGAACTTGATTTTCTACGTAAGCTGAGGAACCATCCTCCCAAGTCCTAACAAGCCTCGGCATTACAAGACCGCCTCTCATTCTAGCCATCTCCACTCAAGCAGAACTGACATTAGCTTACAGAGAAACCTTCCGGGTTGCGTATCCACTCTAAATAATGAAGGGAGACCTTGGAAGAAGAGAATGAATGGACAAACTTCAAAAAAAGTGCAACTCAGACAAGTGCATGTGTAGTGCTAAGCTCCTTGCATCAACATTGCTTTTTTATTTCAGTAGGTGGTGGTTAGAACTCAAAACATAATTTGCTCATCACCACAGCATACCACAAAACTCTTATCGTGACGGTCCATAATCAACTAGTAAGAGCACCAGGTGGGGTTAAGATAATAACATACATCTTATCAGAGCATGCTTACAACTGTCATTAAAGAAACCACAACAAACAAGCTTAATATACCAACTGATTTGAAGAAAGATCTGGTATGTTACGTCCAGAACATTGGCTATAAAGAAGGACATTGGGACGCTCTACCTTATTGAAGCAAAAGTCTTCTCCAGGGGTCGCTGATAATCTTAATCCATGGAAGTAGCAATTGCTTTCCCTTAAAGGAGTTCGGAACATGCATACACACCCTCAGGTTTGGGCGAATCCTTTAAAAAACACAATATGAGCTGCTCACAGAGCTACATCTCATTCCTGTATTAGATTGTCTCACCTTTAAGTCCATCCACATTTTATCCATTCATGCATCAACTTGTGTTCTTTTACATTATGTGTGGTGATTTACCAATCCGTTTTGAAGTCCTAACCTGCATCCTTAACAATGTATCATGTTACATATTTTATTATTGAGAATTGCATGCCCAATAGCTCTGCAAAGGATAAACCAGTGAAAACCGTACCTTCCTTGACTAAGGACTTAGGACAGCTAAATGACCCCTTAACGCCTAAGACTTCTCCAAAGAGCATAAACCAGTGGATTGTCAACCAAGCAAACCAGGGAGCAGTTCAAAGCTTGAGGGAGGATCAGTCTACTCAACCTAGTGAATATCTATCTTACTCTTCTTCCCAGCCATATAATTTTAAAGGCAGCCAATAAGTTCAAAAAACTTTCTAATCTAATAAGTTCGGAAATTTTATTTTCTAGGATCAGCCTACTCGACCTTAGAGAGAGATGTAGAACAAGAATGAAGACCAACTTTCTGCCAGTGTTAAAAGGGTGCAAAACAACCCAAAGAGGCATGAAAGTGGTGTAACTCATCATATACCTTTAGCAAGCAACTTTCTCTACTTTACCAAACAATTTTAAGCCTCAACTCTCAAGTGGCCATGATCTGTACTCTGTAAACCTTACATGAATGTCTAAATGGTTTAGCTTAAGAATGCAGTGATTGTCACCGCATCCATCGAGCTTCTTTTAAAGTTTCAAAGGCAAAATACTCATCAACTTAACAAATGCCAACACAAAACAGAAAGTAGAAACCCATGTATAATACGAAGTCATTGGGTGGTATATTATTTAAACAAGAACCACCTTGCACATATGTCCTCTTATTCAGAACTTGGAACGACAATCTATAGTATAGAGTTGAATAAGACTATACATATTACATTCTAGCTAACACAGGAAATGGATAATGAATCAGACCGTTTGTTTGCGCTCAAATCCATCCCCAGGGTCCTCAGTGCTGGGAAAGACCTCGAACCCAGTGACCACAGCAGATGGAGGACCTCGTCGACACCTCTGCTCCATCTCTTGAACCGCATCAGGGTTCCCAGAAAGCAGAGTCTCCACAGACCCATCTCTTCTGTTCCGAACCCAACCTTTCAAGCCCAATTGGGTTGCGTTCTCAATTGTCCAGTTCCTGTAAAACACACCCTGCACCCTCCCCTTTACCACAAGCCTCACCTGAACACCCAAAACCCAAAACCAAAAATATTACATTGAGAAAAAGAAATTAACAGAGACCCATTACTTTTAAACTGATAAAAAAAAAAATGCAAAAGATCAGAATTTAACATTGAGAACAATAAAACTAAGAGAGACCCATTGGTTTAAACTGAACAACAAATGCTAAAGATTAAAATTTTACATTGATATAGGAAAAAAAAAGCATGTACAGCAGCAAAAGATAATTACGGAGAGAGAAAGGGTCGTGGGTGTTTTCGAGGGGGTCGCGGGTAGGCAAGGGGTCGTCGCGGCCTGGTGGTGGTGGTCGACTCGTGAGAGAGAGAGAGAGAAGGAGGCGACAGCGTGCCTGGGTTTTCTTTAAAGTCAGGGAAAAAAAAGTTTCCGACCGATTCTTTATACACTTTATAAACGTAAATTAAGAGAGACCCATCACTGCAAACTGAACAAAAATGCTAAAGATCGAAATTTTTACATTGACAAGAATAAATTAAGAGAGACCCATTACTCTAAACTGATCATAAATTGCAAGAGGAGAGGTGGAGACTAGAAACGTACGCACCGTTTTGGAGGAGGCTGAGGAGGACTGGACGGAATCAGGGGCGGCCTGGGGAGTGGTCATCAGGGGCAGATAATGTCGAAGAAGAGGTGGACGAGGTCTGAGCAGAGGAGAAAAAGGAGGGCGAGGAAGAAGAAGAAGACGGCAAATCGAAAGAGGAGGATGAAGAAGATGATGGCGAAGATTATGGAGATGGGGGACGAGTCTAAGAGCAGAACTAGCAGCATTGCTTGCGGTGTCGTTTTGGGTCCATTTATATGGTGATGATGGTGGATGGGTATTGCTCCGAGATGTGAGGAATCTCGTTGCTGCGTTTGCTTTGTGTTGAGCTGATATCAGTGCCCTCACTGAGATTGAGGCTGATGCCATTCAATTCCATTTTGACTTTTGATTTTGTTTTGTATTTATGCAGTGGGTTTCTTCAGGAGGTTTCTGAATAATTCCTAGCCGTCCTTTCTTCCTTCACCATACTTTCTACAATCGAGTGCTTGGTTTTTATTGCAGCAGATTTTATCTATGAGGCCCATATAGTTTAATCTTTTGAAGCTTTCAAGCCCAACAAGTTTTCCATTACTAGGCTTTCATTTTGACTTCCCAAAAGAGAGAGAATTGGCATTCTTTTGTTATAGTTGCTATGCTAAACAAACGAGAGAGAATTAACATTATGAACCTTATTAGACAACATGCAAAACATGTTAATGTGTTTGGAAACATTACTAACTAGTAAATGTAATGTTCTTTTTTTTCGAAAGATTTTGCATGTTAATTTTTTAGACAGTTTTAACATAGTATGCTAGACTGCCAATAATAACCAATGATCTAATATACAGAGCCGGCCCTTGGGGAGGGCAACTGTGGCCTGGGCCCGGGGCCCATAATTGAAAGGGGCACAAAAAAAAAATCAAGTTAAGCCATATATTATATACATATAGAACAAAACAAATAAAAAAACAAAAAGTCCTCAAGAAAAAAAATAAAAAATAACCAAGCGTGCATTTTTGTTTAATCCTCCCTTCCCAAAAGCGTGTGCTAACCCATAGATGCTAACAAATATATTGTTTTTTAATCCTATTCCAAAAAACAAAAACAAAACAAAGCCAGACCATACTAGGGTTTAGATTCTTGTTGTCTCAATTTTCTTATATATGTACCTATCATCCCTCACTCAGTCACACTGCAGCCTCTCTCCTCTCCATAGCCTCTCTCTTTCCCTATCCTTTCCTCTCCATGACAGAAGAAAAAGCCAACAGAGCTGTAAGTCCTTTCTCTTTGTCTATTTATTCTCTATGTTGCTGCTATTTTCCAAATAATCACTTTATATAGGCATTCTTGCATATTCAAGGTCGCCAATTGAGAACTTATTCATTGAGAATTGAGATGGGTTTCAGGTGCAGACCCAGATAAGCAACAAAGATTATTTTTCTTGGGTCTTAATCAATTTTGTGTGAGTTTTGTAATGGATTACCTCGTTTAAACATGAAAATTTATCTAAAGATTTACCAAATGAATTGTTCATATTCATTTGGAAGAATAAGCAGAAAATGAAAATGAATTGAAAGTTTATGATGCAAAAATGGCAGATTTACTTTTAGAATAGTTTCATGTGGGAGAAACTAACTGCAAATTCCCTATGAATGAACACGATGACATTTTTCCTCAAATTATTATCATCAAACAATAACAAATGGGAAGGCTCATGTTGCAAAACAATGAATGCTATAATTTTAATAAAATTAATTAGTTGATAAAAAATTTATAATTTTAATGTATACATTATTTAGGGCACACTTTAGATTTTTGCCCTGGGCCTCAGATTACCCAGGGCCGGCTCTGCTAATATAGATCGTAATCATACTATATCACACATTACAATAGACCCCAACTAAAAAAATATGAAAATTTGGTTCTCAAATATGCATCATAAAAGTAACGCCGCACATTAAAAGCAAAACCTAATCTTCTCTTCACCAAATCAAGTTCTTCACCCTCGTAACCTGTTTCTCTTTCTGTTATTTTGTTTCAATATTCTTCCCCAAATCAAATTCTTCATCTTGTTAGAGGTTTATATTTTTTATTTTGCAAATGGATCAGTAAGGGTCTGATTCCATATCCCAATATAGGGTTAATTACTCAAATAGTCCTCAAACTTGTACGCGATTTACATTTTGGGGCATGAATTAAATTTTTCGTTCAAATGGTCCATCAACTCTATATTAATTACTCAAATGGTCCCACCATCTAATTTTCTGTTAGATTTAACCAAATTTTAGGGTAAATAATGACCAATTTGCCCTCATATTTAACGGAAATATTGACAGAATGTAACGGTGGGACCATTTGAGTAATTAATATAGAGTTGATGGACCATTTGAACGAAAAATTTAATTCATGCCCCAAAATGTAAATCGCGTACAAGTTTGAGGACTATTTGAGTAATTAACCCTATATTGGGATATGGAATCAGACCCTTACTGATCCATTTGCAAAATAAAAAATATAAACCTCTAACAAGATGAAGAATTTGATTTGGGGAAGAATATTGAAACAAAATAACAGAAAGAGAAACAGGTTACGAGGGTGAAGAACTTGATTTGGTGAAGAGAAGATTAGGTTTTGCTTTTAATGTGCGGCGTTACTTTTATGATGCATATTTGAGAACCAAATTTTCATATTTTTTTAGTTGGGGTCTATTGTAATGTGTGATATAGTATGATTACGATCTATATTAGCAGAGCCGGCCCTGGGTAATCTGAGGCCCAGGGCAAAAATCTAAAGTGTGCCCTAAATAATGTATACATTAAAATTATAAATTTTTTATCAACTAATTAATTTTATAAAATCACTAAGGCCAAACTTTAACAAGATTCAATCTAAATAAATTTTAAAAAGGAAAAAAGAAAAATTAAAGAAAATAAAAACCCACTATTGTTGAGATTCCGAGATTTCTTAAATTTGATATTTTTTACTCACTAAAATAAAATTAATGTGAATTCATAAAGAATATTGTTGTTGTGAGGGATTGAGTGAATGTCGTGGTGTGTGAGGAAATGTAATTTTTCATACTCAAATTCAAGAATATTGTGTGGGATTGCGCAATTAAAAAAAATCTCACATAGAAAAACAATAATAACAAAATTCAAAAATAAAATTTTAAAAATTTAAAAATTTAAACAAAAGTTTCAAGTATAATAATAAATTCCAATACATGATATGAACTTTGAGTGATAATAATAAGAAGTGGTATGTAGATTAATTAATTAATTATTTTTTTTTATTTTTTATTTTTTTATGGAAGGTTTGAAAGAATAATAAGCTAAAGCAAGGACAAAAGACAATATTGATGATGTGCATTCAATCTTTCTGACATTGGCTTCGGTATTTCCAGCATTGGCAAAAATCCTATGATTCAAATGAGTGATAATCCTATCACTTAACCGAATCGTAAGGAAATTGACACAAGGGTCCACATACATGCAACCAAACTCTATTACAAATATAGCAAACCACTTCTCCGCAATGGTATGGGCCATGAAGTCCCCATATTCCACTGTTGTAAGTGTAACAACAACCATGTATATTCCATTAAGTAGAGAGTTACAGAGAAGCTTAAGGGCAAAGTTAGGGGAATCCTTATTGGGTGAGAGATGGTAAAAATAGGAAAAACCAGTTATAGTTAGGGTGAAGTACAGTGCACACTCAAGTACAGGCACAAGAATCAATTGCAATGGTATTGGTTGTAAAGCCAGTGGATGTTGAATATTCATAGCCATTATGGAATATCGCTTCTGTGTCCGAGACTCGTTGGCTCGGTTCTGCATACCGAACTACCGTTGACTTTCTAATCAATGCGGTTTATTGCCAAGAAAAATGTGTCGGGAACCTTCGGTTTTTGAGGTAGAACCACACTTGCCTACTTGAATGTTAGAGTTTTTAAAAATTTGGTTTTCACCATGAGCATTATATCAAACTTGGGTTAAAATTTGTAATTTTAATACTTCAACCAAGAAACCTAGCCTTATTAGATTTTGTCTTTCACATCACATTTTCACAAGTGAACCTTTGGGTTTTGGGGAAAAATAACTAAGAAAAGAACTATTTGCTCCAAGGAGCATTCTACCTCCCTCGTCTATTTTGTGCAGCTCCACTGCTCAGCTCAATTATTGAATACCGCTTTCGTGTCTGAGACTCGTCGGCTCGGTTATGAATACCGAACCACCGTTGACTTTTCGGTCAATGTAGTTTGTCGCCAATAAAAATGTGTTGGGAACCTCCGTTTTTCCGTTTTTTTCGGTAGAACCACACATGCCTACTTGAATGTAAGAATTTTTGGAAATTTGGAGTTCACCGTGAACATTATATCAAACTTGGGTTAAAATTTGTAATTTTAATACTTCAACCTAGAAACCTAACCCTCTTAGGTTTTGGGGAAAAGAATGAATAAAAGAACTATCTGCTCCAAGGAGCATTTTACGTCCCTCATCTTTGTTCTGCGGCTTCACTGCTCACTGCTTTGCTCCATTATTGAATACCGCTTTCGTGTCCGAGACTCGTTGGCTCGATTCTGAATACCGAATCGCCGTTGACTTTTTGGTCAATGCGGTTTATTGCCCGGAAAAATCGGTCGGGAACCTCCGATTTTCAATTTTTTTGATAGAACCACACAAGCCTACATGAATGTAAATTTTTTTTGAAATTTGGGTTTCACCGTGAACATTATATCAAACTTGGGTTAAAAATTGTAATTTTAATACTTCAACCTAGAAACCTAGCCCTCTTAGGTTTTGGCTTTTACACCAAATTTTCACAAGCGAATCTTTGAGTTTTGGGGGAAAAGAACTATCTGCTCCAAGGAGCATTCTATCTCCCTCGTCTCTGTTCTGCGACGCCACTGCTTCACTGCTCCACTAGGTATTTTTCTTGTTCCTTTTCTTTTAATATGATTATGACAATGTTAAATGTCCTTTTCTTTTTCTTTTAGTAAAATCAATCTGACTAGATGATAAAGTTAAAGAAAATCGATCTGACTTTTTTGCTTGAGAAAGTTAAAGAAGTTATTTAATAAATGTTATAGTATAGAAAGAAGGTTTTTAAAACAAAGTATATAATTAATATAAATAATATGTGTATATATATTACTGTATATCAGTTTTCAAATTCACAAATGCATACATATATGTGTGTATATATAATATCTTTATATGTTTTAGTTAGTTTGTTTGAATTAGTGAAATTAAACAGAAGCATAATACAAGCATAACAACAACAAAAAAAGTGGAAACTCATGCCTTCTGGATTCATAATGGTAGTAGATAATGTCAATCGCCCTTTTCACAATAGGGGTACTCCAAGCCAACCAAAATATGACAAAATATTTTCCACCGGTTGTTTTTAAGTGTAAATCGCCATAATGCACCAATGTGAAAAAGCAAAAAGAAAGGTAAAGGCCATTGGTAAAAGTG